TGGCGCATCATGGTGCTTGTATTGTTCACCTCATGAGGAATGTTGTATCTCGATACAAAAGCAAGGGCCTTGCTAAGATGGTTTGCGAGGCTGCCTTCTCTTTCCGCCGTTCTGATTTTGATAAAAACTTTGGTAAAATAAAACAAGCTAATGCAGCCTGCTTCAAATATCTTGAAGACATTGGCACTGCAAAATGGTCTCGCACTTACTTCCCTGGTAACAGATACAATCTCCTCACCAGCAACGTTGCAGAGCAGTTGAACAATGCTATTTCCAAATCCAGAGCTTCTCCGATTGTCGAAATGTTCATGTTCCTTCAACGTATGCTCACCCGCTGGTTCTCAGCCAGGAGGACAAAATCAGCTAAACACAGAGGTTTCCTCACACCAGAGGTTGATAAGGTAATGCAGACTCACATCAGACTAACTAAAGGCAGCAAAATCTCTCAAACAAAGGAATGGAGCTATTCAATTAGGGGCCTTTTTGGTCACCACAACACTGTCCACTTGGATACAAAAGCTTGTACATGTCAAGTGTTTCAAAAGCTTAAAATCCCATGTGGACATGCTCTTTTGGCTGCTGATTCAATTGGTCTTCCCTACAACCAATTGGTTTCTGAATTCTACAAGACACAGCACTGGAGAGAGACTTACTCTGGTGTTGTCTCCCCTGAGGCTCCTTTAGGAGACATACAAATTCCCCGTCATATCGAAGATCTCATCATTTGCCCTCCCAAAACCCGCCGCCCCTCTGGNCATGTGGACATGCTCTTTTGGCTGCTGATTCAATTGGTCTTCCCTACAACCAATTGGTTTCTGAATTCTACAAGACACAGCACTGGAGAGAGACTTACTCTGGTGTTGTCTCCCCTGAGGCTCCTTTAGGAGACATACAAATTCCCCGTCATATCGAAGATCTCATCATTTGCCCTCCCAAAACCCGCCGCCCCTCTGGGAGACCTAAGGACAAAAGGATTCCTTCCACAGGAGAGGTTCAGGTAACTTCATTCCCTCCTATTCATAGACTATTGTCATATTCATTTTTGTACTTACCTTTTTCCTATCTTATTTGATCAGCCTCCCAAGAAAACAAAAACAATCCCAAACAAATGTGGACGTTGTGGTGGCACTGGGCACAATCGCACTCGTTGCGTTAGGCCCATCTGACTGTGGTGAATCTTATATCCACGGGCATCATCTTTTGGATAGCGAATTCACCCAGGATCAGCTTCTTCATTGAACCTTTCTGTTTTTTTTTGTGTTTTCATGTCAAAACATTACGAACATGTATTGGTTGATCCTTTTGGGAGAAGTATAACGCTTGTTTCTTATTTGCTATAATTTCCCCCAAAGTTAGCCTGTTTGGCGTTGCACTTGACATTTACCGTACAGGTGTACACCTTTTACACACACCGACCTGTACGCCACTTAACCGTACAAGACGGTGTCTTTCTATTATACGACACCGTTTTACTAGACCACTTACAACCCCTTTTTTACCCTAATAAATAAGGCTCCGCCACACACAATTGAAATTAGGGTTCCTCTTCCTTTAAACAAAAAAACCTCATCCTCTCAACAAAAGGGACACTCTACATGGCAGACAGAGGATTCCCGACTCACTGCCCATGTGGCGCCCGTGTTTCCCGCCGCACATCTAAAACCCCCACCAACCCTGGCCGCTTGTTTCACAGTTGTCCATATGGCAATGAGGTATGTCTTCGTTGGTAAACATTT